CAGTCTGCCGTCTGGTGGCGGCCGGGCCGGCCGGGGTGCGCAGCCCCGAGGCGCCACGGTGGCCCGTTGCACTGTTTCTGTGTGTGTCCGCAGGCCAGGCATCTGGAAAGACCTGAAGACCATGGGCCCCGTGTCGCTCTTCATTTTCTTCATCACTCTGCTGGTTCTGGGCAGACAGGTAAGAGGACCCCGCTCCCCGCGCCGGTCGCCGGGCAGCGCGCTGCCGGCACTGTCGCGAAGACAGGGTGCGGCACAGAGCCCCTCACCCGTCAGAGCCACGTCTGCCACTGGGCAGAACAGTGGGCAGCGCAGCGAGCCCGTGGGCGCAGCCGGGGAGCGCCTTCCGCAGGCAGACCTGGAGAGGGGGTCAGCTCGTTGCGTGAGTCAAGCCCTGGGCCCAGCTGGACGGCTGCCTCGCTGGAAAGTGCCCCGGGCCACTTTCGTCTGCACCCCAGACAGTGGGACTCTGCGTGCCAGGTGCTGCTTGCTGTCATTTCTAGAAGTGCAGTCCTCTGCCCCAACTTCATGTTTTGCGATGTGCGTGAAATGTCCGCCCTGCCCGCCCCCAGGAGAGGCCAGGGTCGGGATCTCAGAAGGACAGTGCTCCGTACACCCCAGCACAAGGATGAGCCCAAAGATGAGAGAATCGTCCCCGCCCCCAGCCCCCCAGGCAGCGCGGCACAGCCGAAGTTGTTTAAAGCTCTTTGGCAGATGGTGTGACGCAGCGGAGTGCTGCTTTGGGGGTAAACAACGAAGAGGCAAAGCCAGTGATCTCTGTAGCCACTCGACAGTGCCCCCAAGTGTGTGGGCGTGTCGGGGGGTCACCCCGAGACTGGAGAGCTGAGACTCCTGAGGGGGTCTGGCCTCGCCGTCCCCCAGCGGGGAGCTGTCCACGCTCGCACCCTCAGGAGAGCCCAGCTGTCCACCGTCAGCCCTGCGGGCCTGGCTCACGGCCCCTCCCCCGCTGGGCAGGGCCGCCTCCCCCAGGAGCCCACGGCCCAGCTGGCCTCCGCCCGGGGCGGCCCCTGCTGCAGGGCTGTGGAAGGTCCTCGCCGCGCGCCCCTGCCTGGGACGCAGAGGCTCAGCCCTGCGCCGACTTGTGGTCTGCACAGCGCTCCCCCGCCCTGTGCTTCGGCGTGGCCTCTGTGGGCTCCGTGCGAGCCTGCTGCCCTCCCCCAGCTCTCTGCTGTTGCCACGGAGGGGAGCCAGGTGGCCAGGCGTAGGAGGGCCAGGACCCCGTGGCCACCCCCGCCGCCCCAGTGCCTCCCCTCACACCAGGGTGTCCCACCCCGCTGCCGCCCACCCGCGTCAGCACTCAGCAGCTGCTGCTCGTCGCTGAGGTGATACACGGCCCGCTCCCTGGCCGGGCGACGCGTGCAGCTGCGTGCCGGCTGCCAGAGCAGCGCCAGGCCCGCGGTCTTCAGACGCGCATCGTCGCCTTTTTCACACTGTATTTGTGCTCAGAGAATTTGTGTGGTCTCTGCGTTTTATTATGAATGGTTCGTGAGGTCCTTTCACACGTCCCTCTATGCCAATGCCCCCACGGCCAGTTAGCTACGTGGCTGCATTTGCAGCGCCCAAGCCAGGCAGTCTTGAGGGAGGCGTCCACCCCGTCACCGCTCCCTGCGAGGTGCCGGCTTCCTGATGTGTCCTCGCGGGCTGGCCCCTAGGGTGGGCGAGGGCCGGAGGGGCCGTTCAGCCTGAACTCCCTGAGCTGTTTCCTAAGGTGCCAAGTCTCCTGGCCAGCAGCCCGCCCCTTCTAGGACACCGGTCACTGGAGCCGCTCCAGTCCGGCTCCGTCTAATTAATGAATTCCAGCGGCAGTCTGTTTCCAAAGGTCACTTGCAGATAGGGGCGTGGGGAAGCATCTTTTGGGGGACGCTGTTCAAGCCCTGACGACTGGGTTGGGAGAGAACAGGGTGTCTCCTCTGGGGCCTCCGTGTGGGCTTCAGGGAGTTTCGGTCACGTCTGTACAGAGAGGGCCCAGCCGCAGGAGCCGTGGCCCGAGGGGGCAAGAGGTACAGCTGAGGGAAATTGCCCCAGTCCTCTAGCGGTCCCCAAGAAGCAGGCAGAAAGCTTGCCTGCTATCGGCCGTGCCCTCAGGAGCCTGCAGAGGTCAGGGGACCCTCCCCTCCTCTCAGGGGACCCCACACTCCCACCCCCACCTCCTCGGCTTCGTCTCCTGCTGCCTCAGCCTGCGGTGTGCCAGGGTCAGCTGAGTGCTGGCCACGGTGGTCCCTGCCTGCCAGCAGAACCAGCCCTCACTGGCCTGGCCCCCAGGCCCGATAAGGAATCTGCTCTCCCACTGAGAGGCCTTTGTTGGCGGGGCTCCGGGGACTGCTGTGTGTCCAGAACATGGAAATTTGGTGTCCGCCAGAAAGCTCAGCATAAGCCAGCTTTCAATACGTCTTTGCCAACCCTGGGGAAATGTCTGGCTACACAGGCTAACCGTGAGCACCACGCCAGAGGCGTGTTCCTGTGCGTGTTGCGCTAGCTGGAATCACTCATCTGTGAATGACCGTCGTCGTCTCAGGGTCTGAAATGTGGGTGTTAGCCGCCACGTGTGTGGGAGCCGTGTGTGGGGGTGATGGGGCGGTGGGTGGCTGTGGTGTCCTGCGGCCATTGCTGTAATTAGCCAGGCGCGACGCGCCCTCCCTGCATCCGCCCTTTACCTTCGCGGTCGGCAAGTTACTGCCTGCCCAGCGCACCCTCCCTTCAGGAGAGGTGCTCACGCTGTGGGCTCTTTCTAATCCTTCGCATCCTGGCAGCCCGTGCTGCCAAGCCCGAGACCCTCGGTCCGCACAGGGCCTGTTTCCACAGGCCACTGGTGACCGGCCGTCAGAGCCGGAAGCCCGAAGCCCGTGCTCTGCGCGCGGGCGCCTCCGTGAG